AAAAAATATCAATTAATCAGGTAATATACCAATCAAAAATCAAATCTGCTTACTAATATACACTATCTGAAATACAAAATTTAAAGTATAGCGTAATGCTAAATATCAATCACTCAATGTACCAATGACAATCAAAAATTCAAATAAAAAAATAACCAAAGTATGAATAGCTGAAAGTAAAATAAAAAAAATTAGAGATATTAATAACTACAAAGACAATCAATGTATTAATAAATGAAAAGCAATTCAAGATAATCACTATATATATAAACAATACTAAAGAGAATAACACAAATCAATAAAAGAAATATATATATGTAAACACAATGACTTACCAACTATATGCAAAACCTTAACTTGTATATGGGTTGCAAAGCTTGTACGTCTACAAACCCATGTCAGACGTGCATAATATCGAAGAAAGAGAAAAAAAAATATATATGTAAATAAATATGCAAGTTAAATATGTACAAAATAATACACAGACAACTATCTATATACAACTAGGACAAGATAATCACAATATGAATATACTGTATCACTGCTCCAATCTACTCAATCAAAATACAACTAAACTAACAACAAACTATACCAAGCTAACCTAAACCAACCTAAATATCTCTCCACTAAAGACTAAGTCCAAGAAATAGTAATAGCAAAGTTAAATATAGTATAAATGCCTTTTCCTAGGTATGGTGTACTATGGTGGAAAGGTAAGGATGGTAAGTATGAATGTTAAATAATCAAGTGTTAATTGTACTACTCAAGCTCACTGATCTCAATTAAACTTTTAAAGTTTAAACTTTTAATTAAAAATTTAGTCTCTAGAAAAGTTTAACTACTTTATCAAATGTTAAATGTAACAAATATCAATGACAATTGTACACAAACAAATCAATTTCACAATACACATACACAGTAAACATACATATGACAATGTAAATAACAATGAACAATGTCAATTACAATGCACATAAACAATGAACATGACAATGCACATAAACAATAAACATGACAATGTACAAAAATAAACAATTTAAAGTACAATGTAAAATACTAAGTCAAGGTGGAATGGACTATGTGTATAACTATGTAACTATCAATCAATCAGTGTATGTTGATATCTCACTGGTAATTTTACTAAGTCCAAGTAGGACAAATAAATTTGTAAAATATTTTCAATGTACAACTAACTGTATGTGTGTATGCACAAAAATCAAAAGTAAATTTTAAATCAGTGTATCTTACTGCTAACTACTGATATTTAGTTGCTAATGTAAACAAAGATGTCAAAATCTAGTACTTCCGGTTGACTTCTATGACCTTTCCCGGGGGTGGGGATACAGGTGTAGGGGTCACAACGAACACAAAAATGTTCAAGTCTAATTACAAACCTATGTATGAATAATGTCTATATCACACTTAATTTACATGTAAATTTTATGCTCTCTACCAAATAGCGATTGTCTATCTATTCAATATACAATATCAAGTGCGTTTTTTTCAATGTAAACTAAAACATGAATGAAAGTTTTGACACATTTTTTTTTCAAACTCAATTAAAGCTTCTAATGGCAATTTTCAAATGAACAATCAATTACGACCGGTTCATACAATATATATAAACATTTTCACAGTACTGACCCATTAATGAATTCACAATCCAAGTTGTTATCCACATGGATCCATTTTCGGAACGTGCTGATTGTTGACACCGAAAGCTAACTAAATGTTACTGGTAAATATACGTAGGTAGGTCTGTGACGTAGAATTATTGATGACGCGCACACAGGTAGAATACAGGTGACATCAGCTGATTTGATCTGTGACGAAATATCACGTTTGGCGCCAAACATGTAGTCTTGTTTCGGGGCAATAAACACACAAGAAACAATCTAAGGGTTACGGATTCTATATTTCGTAGTTTATATCATAATCCAAAATAATACCCTGTAATAACTATACATTATATTAATGGATGTAATATAATTAAGTAACTATATAAAAGCTTTAAAACATTATGTTAACAATTATGAACAAGGAAACTGTTTACTTTTCCAAGCATTTCAATAATCAAAGAATAATATATAATTTCATTAAGTCGGAATTACTGATCTCCTATTCTATTGTTTCATGAATACATCTAAATACCAAATCTAATCATAATGCATATGTCGGTGCATTAGTAACACATTATAACAATAATACAATGAACTGTTAAATACCAAATCTAAGTAAGCCTATTTAAAATAACATATACATGCAAAGCAAGAACACACGTGCAAACAAAGAATAAAGCACTTTCTAAAGCAGACAATACATTAAGCAAAACGCACATAGATTCAACATAACATAACCTACCTAACAGGTATTTGTGAAGGCTCGAAATACAATATTCAATTCACATCAGGTTGATGCCAACATGGTGCATCATCAATATGGTAGATACCTGCAGTACAAATATTAAATTCATAACTAACCTAATCTACATTCAATAGTTTAATCCCATTTACTGAAATTTAGCTGTTTTATATAATTTACCGTATTTAACCATAAAATCACAATTATTAAATTTTTTAAGTTCTTTTAGGTTTTTTTTATTACACTTACATATCACATCTACACATCATTCAAACATGCATTTATTCATAACATTCATAAATCATGCATACATATAATTATAAGTATAGATAATTAATATGTTAGTATAAGAAGAATAATTGACCTTAGAAATATGAAAACCAAACTCCAAATAGAATATAATAGTACAATTTACTACACATAGAAAATGGTGTCCATCACACAAAGTGACCATATAGAAATGTAAACTTCGCGCCAAAGAATTGACAACTAATCAATACCAATAAAACCCAATTGAAACACCTGATAGAAGTCACACCTGAGCGAACCTGAAATTTACACTCCGTATAATTTAACCATGCAATAATATAATACTACTATAATATCTTCTGAAATAGTAAAGTTAGATTAAAAATATAGAAATAATCCAAAATAAAATATAAAATACAAATATCCTAAAATACCACTTTACCACAGTAAAAGACGACAAAACATCTTACGACAGATTTTTTATATTTTTGACTTAAACCATGTGACTATTTTAGTCAATTGTCGTTCCTATCGGTTTACATGAAGGCACCCATAATATCATAAGTTTAAATACCAAAACTCATAAATAGAATAATCACACTGTACCTAATTTTCTCCAAACAAACACTCATATTTGATTGAATTTACAAGCAACAATTTTCTTTCTTTACGAAGTTACATGGAAATTTACAACAATTATTCGGGATAGGGTAAGTCTTAATTACTTCTATCAAAATTCCATAAAATAGATAGAAAAACATCTATCAGCCACATCTATAATATGACTGAAAGGACATTAAGTGTATACTTATACCTTAAATAAAGCATACTATATAGGTTTAAACATGTTCCGACATTAAACGAATTAAATTTTAGTAACTTAATCGTACAGGTATATTTTAGTTATATTTTCACATATTTAAATCGTGTATTTTATGTGTATATGTATATGTGTAAGGCGTAGCGAATGAGACGAGCATAATTAGGTTACTCGTACTTATTACATTAAACAAATGAGTGTTATTTGTTTCAAAATGGTTTTGAGAGCTGTGAAATTTACATGTCTAGTAGGGAGTTGCCAGGGATCTAAGGGTAAGCTCTTTAGAGCTAGCAGCTATAAAACCGGGTTTAATCCACCATTTTTTTGCATGAGGAAATGTCTGTACCAAGTTAGGAATATGACAGTTGTTTTCCATTCATTAGATGTGTTTGATCTTTTGGTTTTGCCATTTTGTAAAGGATTTTCCGATTTGAATTTCCCTTTGAGTTCGGTATTTTTGTTATTTTACTTTTTATTTATAAACCTACTTCTGTTTTTTTTAATCACAAAATAATTGCAGTCAAAAAATTGGTTAGTACCGTGGTTGTTGTAATTATTCCCAGTAAAATACCTAACAAGCATATACTTAGGCAGGTAGTTCAGTGGTTTCCAGTAATATACTTGATATAAGTTCACCAAGGCAGGAATTGCAGTCTTTGCAGTAATTAGCCCAGTAAAATCTTTATATATACGGAGTATATATATCTCCCAGTTGATACGATATACTAGGGCTTGTATTTCCTATCATGATTTCCTTGATAGAGGGTTGCTGCTCACAATGAAGCTATCAAACCAAGAGTTCCAAGTGGTGAAATTGAAATCAACGCTTTGTAAATTTTACGGACGCCACCACGAGTTGGTTGACCGTTATGGAAGATTTGTTTCACAGATGACGACAGATTTGTTCCAATTGTCGAAACTACAATCGCGTCTCCTTTTCCCCGAATGTGACCTACCGAAATAGACTTATCAGCGGGTTTGTACTTACACGAGGAACACCTAGTCCCATGTAGAGCAGGGTCTGCTTACCTTTCCGGAGTACCTGAGATCACCCCGAGGTTATGGTTGGGTTCGTTAGTCTTTAGTTTTCTATGTTGCGTTTCGTTTACTGTTGTTTTTCTGTTTGTCCCTTTGGTATCTTCCGCCTCTCTCTTATATAAATGCACCAAGTCAGATAGCACAGAAGTTATAGTAATTATTTCCAGTAAAATACTTGATATTAATGCACCAAGTCAGGTAGTACCGTAGTTGTAATAATTATTCTCAGTAAAATACTTTATATGAATGTACCAAAGTAGGTAGTACGGTGATTGTATTAATTATTCCCAGTAAAATACTTTATATAAATGCACCAAGGAAGGTAGTACCGTGATTGTATGAATAATTCATTATTCCTAGTTAAATCCTTTATATAAATGCACCAAGTCAGATAGTACCACATATTTCAATCTTCTTGTTTGTCTTTGTTTCCTGTACACAAAAACGACCAATATAAAAAGCACATGAAAACAAATGCACAAAGAAATTCATTTTGTCCTTGTATATATTTAATTATACTTATCAATTACAGTGAGACGAATTCGTCCAACATGCCAGGAAATGAAAGGTGAGCATATTATATAACATAGTTCTCTACGGATGTCAAAAAGAGTTATTCGAGATTCGAAATTGAAAATTCAATGTCGTCTTTTAAACAGTCAAAATCTATTATGGCAAGTCAAAATAAATCGAACAAAGGATTAGACAAAGCATATATATAAACACCAATGTGAAAACAAAACAAAGTAAAACAAAGATATCTTACGAACAATACATAACATAATAAATATTTTTAAGGATTGTGTAACTTTTGTTTTAAATTGGTTCAAGATTAGTCAAATGTTTGTCAGCATTTAGATAAAGGCAACAGTAGTATACCGCTGTTCAAGAGTCATAAATCAATTAAGCGAAAACAAATTCTGCTCACAAATCAAAACCGAGGGAAACACATCATTTATAAGAGGAAAACAACGGGACAACAGAAACACTGAAATGCAACAACAAAAAAAAAACAAAACAAAACGCCAACATACATAGAAACGGACTAGTTAATAACAACTGCCATATTCCTGACTTGGTACAGGACATTTTAAGAAACAATGATGGGTTGAACCTGGTTTTATGTCTAGCAAAACCTCCTGCTTATATGGCAATGTTAAAAATAAAGCTAAAATGACAACATTATGTGACAGGAATAAAGTGCAAATAAACGCAAGAACACTCAGGACAGAGAAACACATAAATGAATAATATAATAGTACTTAGAGCGTGTATCTATTTATTCATCGATTCCAAATTTTATATAACGAATAATATTTAGTATCACCTCTCATTTTTAAATTCAATTAGAACCAAACTTTGCCACAATTCTATATGTATCTAGTTTAAAAAATGTGTTCCATGATCCTGCTTGCCAATCAATATGGCCTAAAAAAGGGAAAAAATAGAACTTAAGGTAAAAAAGTATTGTATATCATTTTAAAAACCGTTGTCAATAGAAAAAATCTAACGATTTGAAAATGTTTAGAATGTCAAGATCTACCTAATGTTAATTTTGATCAAAATCATCTGTGAACTATGGCAAGCCGTTGTGAAATTTATTCCCTATTTATTAATATTAAAGAACTCCTTATAGGAATTTTTGCCCTTAGATGATTGCAATTTTTGTTTTTGCCTATTATCTCAAAAGTTATAATAGATAGACATAAACTGTAATGCCCAAAAGTGACAATGAAGACACGACCTACAAATGAGTTAAATAACCGAAATCTTAAGTCGAATCCTTGTAGGAGTTATTGCCCCAAAATGATTATCTCGGAACTTTACAGTTACACCAAAACCATTGCACCTAAAACATATAACTATAAACAAGCATTGCAGGACCTTGATTTAGAAAAATACATACAAAACCCTCCGACATGTGACTGTTCACAGTTGCCTTATATTTACAGCCATGTTATTACTGGGGATCTAAACATAATCCAACATGAAAATCTCCGAAAGGTGATATTTCATGGTTCTAAGTTCAGAGAACGCCAACACATCAATTGGAACCATCATTTCAAAATAATTATGGATTCCATTGAGGACTACGCCAGAGCATTGGCTAAACGAGAAGAAGTTGAATTGGACACATCGTCAGAATGGGTCAGAATGGGTCAGAACAATCAGCAGCTCTCTGATAAAACGTCGAATTCATAAGTTCACTGTGTGAATGATAGACCAAAGTCCGTTTTCAGAAACAAAGGTGCCTTGAAATGTCTATCATCTCTTCACGATAAATATGTTGTTGTTCCTGCGGACAAAGCTTCAAATAGTATTGTTTTTGTATGTAAATCGTACTACTATGAGTGTCTTGTAAATGAATTAGGAATGAATCAGCACTCAGGTAATCTCATATACAAAAACATTTCATTTGACAAGGATGAGATTTTGGCGAATCATAAGTCCTTCGTGGCTTCAATGAACATTACATTGAACAGCAAATCTGAGGACTTACCTTGTTTGTATTGGATACCTAAGCTTCACAAAATTCCGTACAAACAACGGTACATTGCCGGCTCATCTGCATGTCCTACAAAGGAATTGTCGTCATTTGTATCAACTTCACAAATAATACATGATGGTCTTGAAGTATAGATTCTAGGTACTGACGTTGTTTATCATCTTAATTACGTGTTAAAGTTCCCCTTTGTTGTCCTTGTATATTTTTAACCTTTACTATTTATCCATTTTTTTATTATATACTTATGACGTGGATCGGTACTTATACATCTCGCCATTGTGTTATTGTGCTATAGTCAATTTTGAGTTTTTGTCTTTCATTTTTGCTTATGTCCTTTGTCTATATGCCATTTTGTGTTTCTTTGTTGTAACAGTAATTTTTTTTTAAAATGATTAAAATTATATTACAGTGTTGACTGCTATACCCCAATTTTTGACGTTTTTATCTATTATGTCTGTTTGTTTTGCTCACACATTGTTATCAATATAATGGAATTCTATGGGACTGTCATACAAGTGAGAGGTTAGCTAGCTTTAAAACCAGGTTCAATCCACACCATTTTCTACATAAGGAAATGCCTGTACCAAGTCAGGAATATGACCGTTGTTTTCCATTCGTTTGATGTGTTTGAGCTTTTGATTTTGCCATTTTATAAAGGACTTTCCGTTTGAAATTTCCCTTGGAATTCGGTATTTCTGTTATTTTACTTTTTAATAGATACAGAGAATTGTTAAATAGCAAAACTGATCAACAGGACAAGATATATTAACAAGATAGCATAGACGAATTTGTCAGTCGACTTTCTATAGGAATTATTGCCTTAAATGGTGATTTTAGCCATTTTTACATTATTAAAGAAAACTATAATACATCTGTATAATGCATAAAATTATCAGCAAGACAAGAACTACAAAGAAGTCACGTAGCCAAAATTGTCAGTCTATTCCTTCTGGGAGTTATTGCCTTTTAATGGTAATGATAGAGAGAAATTGTTTCAAAAAACAGACCGATTTTATTCATGAATTGTAGCCTGGTGTCTTTACTGATATTTAATCTCTCTATATATATCATTGTATTTGCTTATAACAATGAAACGAATATTTACAAGAAAATGAAAAGTGAGTTTATAATATAAAATACTACTATACGGAAGCCCAGAAGAATTATTCAAGTAAAAAATAAACGTTTACTCTGAAACAATCAAAATCCATACTGAAAAGTAAAAACAATGATAATTCATAAGTACTTTACACAAAAGTTTTAGCAATAATGTGAGTGTAAACAAACATTTGTAATACAGTCGAACAACACACAAATTATATGATTATTTGTCATCGAATGATTAAGAAATTTTAACGACTCGTTAGTACTAGCGACAAGTTAAACAACATACCCCCGAATCAATTTTGATTTAATGTTTTATTGTATATTTATTGAAGCCTGCCTCCGGGTGCGGGATTTTCTCGCTGTGTTGAAGACTCATTGGTGGTCTTGGACTGTTTTTTAATCTTTGGTTGGGTTGTTGTCTCTTTGTCACATATTCCCCGTTTCCATTAATAATTTTATTTGTAAATAAGACTTTTGCATGTAGATATTTTTATAACTGAACAAATATATTTGAATATACCTTGTGCTGAATTCGCTTTTTTAATTCAACTGTATGTGGTATATATTAGTCACAGCAATTTCATAAAAAAAAATCATATTGTTGACCAATATAAAACCAAAAGTTACGTCAAACTTTGTTCAAATTGTACACATTGTATACTTGCAAATACTTTGCAATAATGTGCGATTTTTGTCACTGCTCTATTTATTAATGATTCTCATTATTTAAATGATACATTGGGAGGGGGCGTGGGAATGGGTCACATAACCTTGGCACTGTTTATCACGATTAAGTACTTAACTTTCCATATGAAAATATTATACAGTAAATCGAACATTTCAGAACTTTATTATCAAGAATTTAACTCAACAGTTGGAAAATATTTTAGCTGGTGAATCACTGTTATGGGTATTGAACCAAATAATAACTTGATTGAAAAAAAAAGAAATTTAAAAGGATTTAATAGATTTGTACAATGAAATAGTAAAATGCATTCAAATAAATTAACAATTGAAATGAATTGAAAGGGGAGAGAGCGAAAATAAAATATTACATTCAGTGGATTGATATAAAACATTAAAAAAAAAGATGTTAGTTTTTCATTACATTTAATTTAAATCTTTGGAAGCTTTTCTGGATCAGAGTTAAACAGAAACAAAACAGAAGGATTATGATTGGGAAAAATAAACATAGAAGATACAAATAAGAAAATAAAAATAAGAAAACTGAAATAATTAAAATTTGTGGTTTTTATACATTTAATACGTAGTCGGTGAGAATAATTCAATTTTGGATTGTTCAAATGCAAAGTGTTTTCCATACCAATTTTAAACATGTAAAGGAATCAACTGATGCATTTTTCAGCTTATATAGGTTCAGCATTTGTATTTAAAACCTTCTTTAAGAAAGAGGAGGAAAAGGTCGAAAGGGAGAATCAAAACTCATAAGCTGAAAGACCGACAAAATCATGGCAAAAAACATAAAACGACGAAAAGACAAACAACAGTTTACGAAAACTGCAAACAGAACTAAAGACTGAGCAGAATTAATCCACAAAAAGTCAGGGGTTATATAAGGTGCTCTGGTACATATCTTGCTCCACCTTGGCTGCGGAACCGTAGTTCTTATGGTCCTTATGATATTTTTTGTCAATTTGTGGACCATAGACTTACGGATTATTCCTATGTTAAAACTTTTGGAATTGCAACCCAGTTTCAGGTCGTACTTATTTCCAAAAAATTGTTTTTCGTGCGTAGCTTGTCAATGTATATACTTTGTTTAGTTAAATATTTTTCTATGTTATGAAGTATTTATTTATGTTTGAATATTCATTCCTTGACGCATTTATCTAATTATTTCCTTTTGTATTGGCTCCGCCTATTTCGTTCAGCCATTTTGAATCTGAAAAAAAAAGGAACAAGTCGGCAAAACAAGTGCACAGTTGGTTCCCATAGGAATGCCTATATATAAACACGCCCTCCGAAATAACAAATATGCTGTGTTTAAAAAAATTAAAGATATGTATAACTAAAAGGATTTGTTTATCAAATTACCTACAATTTCGTATATGATTTGACCTTCAAAATGTTTTGATCCGAGCGCCACTGACGAATTTAAAGAAGGCAAAACATGCGTCTGACGTATCAAATTATATTCCATGTACCTGTGAGGAGCTTTTACAATGGGTCGATGCGACTGCTGGTCGACTTTCGCCCCCAAGGGTATCACCAGCCCAGCAGTCAGCACTTTTTGTGTTGAGATGAAATATCATTGATACGTTCATCTTCTGTAAATATTTTGTTTATGATATGTTGAAATATTCGAAACACTCCGGTTTAAAACCCCAGGGCATGGATTGCCTAATATGTGTTTGGTAAAACCCGGCTTTCAAATTATTTGTATGCGATTTGGCCGTCCAAATGTTTTGATTCGGGCGCTATTGATATGCGTTAAGTAGACGAAACGCGCATTTTGTAAACCAAATATAAGCGTTGTATCTTTAATGAGCTTTTATTTGAATTCAGACAAAAGTAGATATTGCCGTTATCATTGTGTTTTTTATTTGTTATTAGATGTACGACATTGTTTTTTTTTAAATTTTAGGTCGGAGAGTAAATATCAATATTACAAAGTAAGTTTATTCGCTGAATTCCGTATACACTTTATTTAGTACATTATATACACTTTTTTACAGAGACTAGTTTATGTCAGAAATTAACAAATGTATTTAAATAACCAAAAATAGTGCACATGATTAGAACTTGAAATATTTTAGGGGTAGTTCTGTGCCCAATTGAACTATTCATACATTGGAGAATTACATCCTATAAGTGTATTCCTTTCTTTAAAATTTATAAAAATAACAATATGCGTTTGAGAATCCTTGCATGACAAGATAAAGGGGTTTTGTTTTAGATTTGAACTATTGCTAAATGAAACGTGTTCAACTATCTATACATTGACATTTTTAAGTAAGAACTTGACTGTATCAATCTTTCAATAATGTTTTTTTTCAGCTGAACTCTCCTTTTGCCTTCGTAAAAATTGACATCACAGTAAAAAATGACTTTCGAACGTGGGGTGTAGGTAAGTTCATTGAATTGAATTAGAACTATGCTACAGTTAGAAATATAAATATTCTTAGGTGAATCTCTTCTTGATTTAATTTCTTATGAACACAAGTAGCAATAGGCCACAGGCTCGTTCGTTCCACTTGACGGTGAACCCAAAACATTGTTGAGAATGATTTTTGATGAAAAACTGTCTGCATGAAACGCTTCTTCTTTGTTTAAATCAAATGTTAAATGAAAACCTACAGTCACAACATCAAACACGATAAAAAGCAATAACTTCTTCAGAAAACAAACGACATTACGTTAATTAAACGCTATAACTGAAAATAAGCCGCAAGAATATTGTCAGCATTAATATATTTTTTTTGCATTTTCTTTGTCAGTAAATTTGACATAACTTTATAATTTTTGAATCCATGGTGAATTATAATGTATTGAAATGAGAGTTTTATTGTGTAGAATTTTGCATTTAAAGACGAAAAAAGCAGTCTGGGATTTTATTTTCTTTTTTTTCATAGTTCTGGCTCATATTGGACTTAAAAAAAATCTACTCCTGGTAAATCAACACAAGTTTACTACATTTATGGATGAAGGTTCTTCAATATCGCCCAGTGCCTGGAATGAAACATTTAGATTTATCGTCGAAAAAAAAGAATTGAAAAAAATGGATGAACTAATGTTCGGTATGTTTTTCATCTTTTCGTATAGAATGAATATGCTCAGTTCGATTGTCATTGCAAAATAATAATGAATGCAGCTCATAATGTTTCCAAGGGTTATACATCTTTGGATTTCGATGATTTTGGTTTTGATTGATCCTGATAAATGCAAATCCAGAAACGCGTTTATAATAGTTATAATATTGTTATTTTCATTTAGGATGACACCGGCAAATCGGTTAAGCGCCAGCCGAATGAACCAAAATGGACACCACGAATTGATCAAAGCTGTTCGGTTAAGGAGTCAGAAGCGCATTCAAAATCATCGACGTACGATGAACACATGGGTTTCTAACCGTTGAAGAAGCCTGAGGTTTTGACAAATATATTCCAACAGAAAAGGCCTCTAGCAATATTGTTGTTTTATTTGCAAAAATCATAATTCTGAGTGTCTAACCAAAGAATTAAGAATTCCCAGCACAATTCCTCTACATCGTTTACGAAAGAGATTTTATAAAATCGAAAGTGTGGCCTTCTCCCCTTGGTACAACATAAAAAAGGACAACCAAAATCTCCGACTTTATACTGGATACACAAACTTCACAAAAATCCTTAAAAAGAAAGATATTCAGGCGGGTCGTCAAGATGTTATTCTTACCAACATTCAACTAGTGGTGTCAATCAGATTTGGATTCTTACCGCAAAATCTTCAATCACAATCTTGACAATTTTGCTGAAATATCAACATTTCTGATTTTTCTACGCTCTACAGGTTTATTCGCCATGCTCAATTGAAAGATCAAATGCATCGTTGCCTGTGCTAAGTCAGGAACATGACAGTTGTTTTTTCACTTGTTCTGTTGGTTGATAACGTTTGCTTTTGTTAGTTTGTATTGAATTTCCCCTTTTTTAATTTTAATTGGAATTCGATATTTTTGATATACTTTTGTTAAACAGAGCTTTTTCTACAAAAATGGAAATCTTAGATAAAAATTTCTTGTTTAAAAAAAAATCTTATTTTGTAAAGAACCGCACTAAATCTAAAATATAATACATCGAAGATGATACCACCAAAATGGTGGACTGTTTTATCGACAATATATTGGCAGAGTTTGTTGGGTTGATAATTCAACAGACAGTCAGTACTTCAATGGGTACTTATTGTGCTCTCCTACTAGCTGACTTGTTTTGTACTTACACGAAGCAGAATGCATACAAACTTTTTCAAACACAGCAAGAATAAGACATCTTGCAAAATTCATTAATTTTTCACTTTCAGATATATTGATGATGTCTTGTCACTCAATAATCCACATTTCAGCGAGTGCTTGCATGTCTTATATCCCAGTGAACTTCAAATAAAGGATACTACCGAAATAAGAAGGTCTGCCTCATATCTTGATCTTTTTCTCGATATTGACACAGATTGACGACTTTTTACTAGTATCTTTTGACAACCAATATATCGATGCGACTGCTGGTTGATGTTTCGTCACTAGGGTATCCCCAGCTTAGTAGAAAGCACGTGTGCATATGAATGAAATATCACTGATACGATCATGTTTGTTAATTGACTGTTTATAAAATGTTGAAATAATCGAGCCACTAAGGATTTTCTACCCAAGTCGTATTTTACCATATGAGGTCTTTTTTGGCACAACTTTTTGATTTTTTTTTCTGGTTTTCAATGCTATTTAACTTCGTACTTGATTTAGCCTTTCAATTATTTTGATAAGATTGCCACTTTTGAGTCTAATGTAGAAGAAACATGTCTTTGATAAGTTTGTATCTAATGTTCGTGATGAGTTTTTAAAATCCACTGGGTCAATGGAACTACTGTTATTGTTACATAATATATGATTGATACAATCATATTTGTAAATTCACTTTTTCTCGAAATAACCTAATCACTAAAGATTTTCTTCCCAAGGGTTAGATTACCGTAGCCGTCAATGCTCTTCAATTTCGAACTTGATTTTGACTTTAAACCCTTTTAAATCGAGAGCAACTAATGAGCCTATGTAGAAGAAATGCGTGTTTGGCATACTAAATGATAAGCCTTGAATCTTTGATGGGTTTTTTACAACCACTAGTAGTATGACGTACAAATTACACGGAATTCCTTAAGCTTAAAATTATACATTCATCTGCACTCAAGGCCGTGTGCTCCACAAGAGTCAAATGTAGATAATCATATCAATACATAGCTAAGATTAAGACACCTAATGACCATTTGCTTTGGTTTCCTAAACTACACAAAAAAAAAAAACCGTCAAAATTTCGTTTCATCTCAGACTCTAGTAAGTGTTATACGACTAACATTTCTGTGATATTAACTAGTTTACTTTTATAAAAATTTTGTTATTAATTTTTTAAATAGAGCATATCAAAATAACGTAATTACGATTTTGGGAATGTCTAAAACTCCTTGGCTTCTGATGGTCAGTTCAATTCGGATGACAGTTATGATTGTTCGACTGGTAATTCAGTGGTTGTCGTTTGTTGCTGTATATCATATTTGTTTTTCGTTTATTATTTTGTACAGAAATCAGGCCGTTAGTTTTCTCGTGTGAATTGTTTTACATTTGTCATTTCGGGGCCTTTCATAGGTGTATATGCGGTATGTGTTAAACTCATTGTTGAAGGCCGTACAGTGACCTATAGTTGTTATATTCTGTGTCATTTGGTCTCTTGTGGAGAGTTGTCTCATTGGCAATCATACCACATCTTCTTATTTTTATAGATATACTTTTTGAGACTGTAATGAGATTTTTAATGCTGTAAACTTTCTCCTTGACAACATCTTGCTAAGCCATTGACGGAAAAAAATGTCAGAGAACTATCAAAATTAGGCTATATATGTTAGATAAATAAAAAAAATATATATGTTCTTATTACTGTCGAAATTGTATTTAAAATAAACATGTAGTTCTACTCGGTTTTCCTTATGTAAGTTTGAAATGATAAAACGACCATAGTTTTGTTTAACCTTTATATAAGTATTCAACATTTATATACAATAAGTATATACCAAAACAATATTCAACAAACATTGATTGAATACATAATGTCTATGTCATCAAAACAATAATTAAATACTGAATGCAATGATACCTTAAGGAAGAAGACCTGGCGTATGGGAGACATTTCTAACAAAGGTATTAGAAGTTATATGTGCGTTTTAACATAGCAGTGATTGAAACAGTGAACAAGCATTTATGTTGTTTACATTTGGTTAGGAGAATGATGCAGGAGCATCTTACAAAATTGGACAAGTTTGACTCCATCTTACATTAAATTACGGAATGACATTTTCCATGAACCAAAAATCAAAAGTCAAAAAGTAAGAAAATAAACATGTACATGAAATGATTTGAAAAAAATACTGTTTGTACTGAGGAGTATTTGGAAAGGCTCTTGACATGATTAGGATAAAATCTTGATAGGTTTAGGAAAAATTAAATTGGAAAATGAATAATTCAATAATGAAGTTTTTTAGTACTAAGCTATAGGTTGATAGACTGTACTTAACTGTATGTCTTTGGTTTTCAAATTCAAACGGCAATATTCTAGAGGATATGATCTGAACATGCATCATAGTAAAATCTAATGCTAACAGATTACCTACATTAGCACACAGATAGTACTTAGATAGTGACAGACTCTCAAAACATTCAACTTCGAGTGTGCTTGTCCGATAACAAGGGCATTTTGTAGTCTTGGGGAGGGAAACCAACATTACGTATTTTAAGGTTGATATGTCAATTCGTCCAATACTGAATATTACTGATTTTCCTTATAAACTACTACAGTTATTGTTGGGACCATACAATGTTCACTTTAACACACAAAGATAATGCAAAAAGGGACTTTAGATGGTTTTGTAGAAAGAAAAAAAAGAATTAAAGAAAAAAAAATCTTTTTTCCTGTATGTCTGTAAGCAAATATATTCTGAAAATTCTGTAAATTTCAAACGGTCAAATTCGAACAAGGTTTTTGATTTCCAAGGTTAGTATACAATGATTATTTCGGCAATTTTTTGTAGGAATTAAACGATAATTTTTTTCTGGCAAAGTTAAAATAAAAAATATGTTATCTCAACTGGCTAGAATTTTCGACTTATTCAATAGTTTTAAACCATTTATTTAAATTTAGGCTACAAATATTACCATGACATTTCAGATTTACTTTAAAACATGTTTCTACTGCACACTTTTAATGTTTTTGTTGTTCCGTTGTTTTCCTCTTATAGTTGATGTGTTTCCCTCGGTTTTAGTTTGTTACCCGGATTTGATTTGCTTAATCGAATTATGACTATTGAACAGCGGTGTACTAATGTTGCCTTTATTTAGAGTGATTGGTATTCCTAATGAGAATACGTACCAATAAAACACAATATTATATGCATACTAATGTTTTCGACCGTTTTTTAAGATGCCCCAAAATTGGACATATTCAATATAGCTTTCAAAAAAAAAAGAAATGGTGAATTTCAACAGATGATGCATGGACCTCTACCCTATCAATGATTTAAGTATAAGAAAAATGAAATGAGAGGAAAATTGTGGGTTTACCCCCTTTAGTCTCTAGTATAATTATATTGTCCTTTAAAAAGTGTTTTTCAAAAAACATTTCTCATCCATCTCAGACCGCATATTTATAAAGTTAAGTTACATTATGTTTTAAAGTGTAAATAATCTGACAAGGTCAACATTACTGTTCATATCTTTGAGTAAATTCCTCTTACTGAAGATATTTAACTATTGATGACATGAACGTGATGAAATTGAAAAAAAAATCTAACATTAACGCATTTGATAGATCCAAATATACCAAATATCAAAATCTTCATATGCTTCTGTGTTAATTTCATCAGAGTAAACGTTATCAAATAAAACGAATACAAACGTATGAAATTCTACTAGTTCAGAACATAATAAAAAATAAATATGTGGGATATTTTTTACATCGTTTTCACAAACGTTGTAATTAATAAGTTTCATAGTCTTAAGTTTACAATAGTA